AAAGGCAGAGGTGATAGCAGTGGACACAGAAAACGCTCTGTGCACCAGGACACTGAGACAGAAACCCTCGGGGGCCTCTTTTCAGTATCCTCAACACACAGCACAGGAGCTTGTCTTGGCAGGAACTGGAAGACTACAGTCATCTTCTAGCTTCAGAGGGTGGTAGTCCATCTCTTGTGTTGCCTTTTCATGTGGTGGTATGGCAGGGAGTTGGGGGTCCATGGATCTCCTTTCAGGTACCATGGTTCAAAGGCTTGTGCTCTTGAATTGGTCACTCTGTGTTGTGTGCCTGAGACTGAGACATAGCATTCGCCTGTTTGTGTGTTATAGCTCCTGCTCTGGAGATTTTTGTCTTCTTCCGTAGTCTTTGCCCAAAGCTTGGAACGCCAGCCTTCATACACACATGCAACCACATGGAAACAGCTTCATCGGAATGGTATCTCATGCTGTCTGTGTGTGTGTGTGTGTGTGTGTGTGTGTGAGAGAGAGAGAGAGAGAGAGAGAGAGAGAGAGATGGGACCATGTGGGCTACTGCCCAAGTTTCTCATGCAATTGTACCCATGCACATCATTGCAGAATTCACGCACTCACCTACCCCACAGCCATGTAGGGTAGCGCAAAAGAGAAGCAGCTCACATGTAATTGTATGTTTGAGAAGGAGATCTTACAATCCTCTATACTGGCACCCTCCAGATGTTGTTGGAATTCAACTCCCATCAGCCCCTGCCAGCATGGCCGATGGGCAGGGATAATGGGAGTTGTAGTCCAAAAACTTGGAAGGCACCCAAATGGCAATCCTTGCTTATCCGGCCTTTAAATGTATTGCTCTATTGAGATCTATAAGCTGGTTGTGTTTCTACAAAGCTCTCCTACTAGCTAGCCAGGCCTCAGTAGAATACTTCCAGTATAGAATAACTTCATATTGGCTTGAATTTAAGATATGGGTGATCATCTAGGTGTTAACATTTGTAGCTGGAAAAGCATGTCAGCGATTCCTGAGCCTTTGGCATTAATTCATACTTCCTGAAATGCATTCTGGCACGTTGCAGTACTGTGGTGAGGCTGCCAGTTTCCCATCAGGTTATGTTAGTCATCCCTGTGGAATTGAATATCTTGACCACGGCCACCAAATTAGGGTCTGCATAGCTCTCTTTAGCACCGTTATGATGCACAACTGTAATCTCGTTGCATTTGGAGTGTCATTGACAAATGCCGTCAAGGGTCTGATAGAATCAGGGAATGGGTGGAATGAGCCCCACACACTCGCGCCGAAACGGTTTCGGGACTATCCACCCTTGCATAATGATGTTTACAGTTAGATCTTGCAAAATGGCTTGGCGCATTTCAGATGGAAATGAAGGTCATGGGGTTAATACAGCAAACTGTGGCTTGGCAAGTTATTAAGGAACGATGGAGTGTCTCGTTAACGGCACTCTGTCAGGAGTCCCGGCGATTGCCAACAAAATGTAATTGTACCCTTGTTGCATCATGTGAGGTGACACCAAGGAACCATGTGATGCCACCTGTCACTCAGAGGGGAGTTTTGTGGTGTGATTTTGAAAATTCTTAACATGCTTGCTTGGCAGAACAAATCTTGCTGCCAAGAGGGAGGGAGAGAAATACATTAGGAGCTCTGACCTCTAAACAGCTATGCTGAAATTTCGACCCTGAGATGCAGGGCTTGTGACCGCATTGCTCACTTTAGTTCTGAACAAGACAGTAGATGAATCAGGTCACCTGATACATTTATCACAAGAGAGAGCCTGGAATTTTCTGTGCCACCACTGAAGAGATATTCACGCGGTTTCATACCTTACTGGAAGGTCAGATCCTGAAGGCATCCCAGCCAAGTGGCCAAGTGTGCCCCTTGCAGAAAAGCCACGCAAGAGCAACCAGCAGCCAGCTATCCATGTTATCTGGTGATATCATCAGAATAAAAGATCTGGATGCTGTGTCAGTGTATGGTCCCAGGGGTCTTGAGCCAAGGACTTCAGAAATAAAGCCCAGGCACTGTTGTCATGGCAGGAAAGGGAGCTGCCAGCCTGGTCTCCACTATTCATCAGGACTGTTGAAGACCAAGAGGCGTCAGCTCAGCAGGTGTCAGGTGACGCAGTGGACCAATAGGGTTCCATCTTGTCTTATAATCCTGCTGATCTTAGTTCTTCAGTCTTCTCGTTCACCATCTATCTCTGGGCCTGTTTCATCACCACCCTGCTTTCCAGACAGATCACCACCTCCGTCTCCTGAAATATGGAGCAAGCATTTCCAGGCCTCCTAAAGGCGCAACATGTTTTTAGTTTGTGATGGCTGAATGGTACTCTGCTTCATAAGCTCAAGAGTTCAGAGATGTCGAGTGCTGAGCATCTAGATTTGGTGAAGATGAGCACAAGAAATAAAAGAACAAGCTTGGGACAGCGTAGATTAGCTGAACTTGCCAGGCACTTTTTAGCTCAGAGAGCTATAGAGGACAGTGCAACCATTTATGGGCAATGTGGTTTGTAAAGTAGCAGGCCTCAGTCTTAAATCTGAGAGATGGGTTTCCTCCTCTGCCTAAATCACCATATGGGTTCATTAGTGCTAGTGGGACAGGGGCACCCATAGACCCTGATTTAAATGCTGAGAGCCACTCCAAACCATTTCTTTTAGATGAGGGATAAGGACCATTCACTTGTGTGTATGCATGCGTGCGCACGCACACACTCCAGGTTAGGAAGCTTGTGGAATGTGTTCAGAATTCTAGATTGTGCATATAAATTGGACAACTTACTGGTCATTTGCAGAGAGCTGCCACCACAAGCAGACATGAAAGGAAAACAGGGAGCAACAGTTCAAGGAGATCTGGAACACAATGCAACAAATCTCTCAGCAAAGCCAGTGGAGGAGGCACTCAGTGGAGGTTGATTCTTTAGGGCGAACGAAGCAGTGCCCAACCAACTTCAGTCTGTCCTCAGCCAGCCCCCTACCTGCCTACCATCTTACTTGCAACCAGTTTAGGAGTCTGTCCTGCATAGCAGCTTCCTCCTCCTTAATCTCTGTACAACTCTGTAGGGAGGAAGATGGGGACAAAGCTAGAATTTGTTGACTCTTCCTGTCACTGGTTCTGGTGCCTCCTGTTGTTGGTCTCCCTGGCTTCTGCCCTGTCAGCGCCCAGTGGCACTGGACAACAGTACGTCCTTTTCTCTCCCTGCAGCAGCCTGACGAAATGTCTGCTGTCAGGTGGCAGCTGAGGAAGGAAAGGCCCAGTAGAATTGGTCTTTTAGCAGAACTGATAGAGTGGTCTGGCCTGCTTACCCTCGGCTGAAGCCTGACAAAATTCCTGCTGGCAGGTGACAGTTAATGTGAAAATAACCAAGAGTCCAGCAGTTACATTTTTTACATTTATTGTAGTTAAGAGACACTGTTTTATCAGGGGCTGGGAGAGGCTTCTAAAATTCTCCGCATTGGAATTTCTACCCAGATATTGGGATTAGGTTAGCTGGTCTTCTTTTTTTAGGGGAAGCAATGCACTCCAAGGTTCCAGTTTTCATTTCTGAATTCCATACACACAACTGTGCATAAGCAGTTTGCTGAAGCTTTCAGTTCATTCATGTCTCCTTCCATGTCTCTTCTCATCCCCTTTCTTTATTGGGGTGCCTGAGCACCATGATAACTCTGCAAACAACAACAACAAACTCCTCTAAATAAGGTTGCTGTACTTACGACTGCATTAAGATTCTTGTTGTGCTGTGTTTTATCAATGCCCAAGAGCGGACGTACACATAAATAGGGCACAAAAAGAATTCTGATGGAGTCATGTGTACAGCTCACTGATTATGTGATCCTACTCCCCTATACGTATGTGGGCCTAGAAAGGATGTTATCCAAACTCAGCAAATACTGTAAAGAGGAGCAATTAACCACAAACTGTTTGAAAACCAAAGTGCTGGTCTTTGGAAAGAAGCCTCTCAAATTTCACTAGTCAGTAGATAAATCATGCAATTGATCAATGTCAGGTCTTCAAATACCTCACAGTATGTTTCAGTGAGGCCCTTTCTTGGAAGGCTCATACAGAGAAAACTAAAACTTTCACCATGCTAAGGCTGAAATTCTGCACACAGTGAACAAATAAGTCCCTTTTAATTTGACAGGATTTACTTATTGTTGTTGTTGTTCTTTATTATTATTATTATTATTATTATTATTATTATTATTATAATATTTATACTCTGCCTTTTCCCTGTCAGGGACTCAAGGCCACTTACATATAAAATAGGAATAGCTAAAGACACAGAAGAAAATAATAATTAAAACATTAATAGAATATTCACACATAATAATAATAATAATAATAATAATAATATTTCTACCACACCCAACTGGCTGCGTTTCCCCACTCTGGGCAGCTTTCAACAGAACATTAAAACCAGAATAAAATTTCAAACATTAAAAACTTCCCTAAACAGGGCTGCATCCAGATGTCTTCTAAAAGTCAACAACAACAAAAACAGCATGGCACCAGCCCCCTCATTAAAAGCAGCCAATTCCAAAACCCTGCTAGAACAGGAAAGTATTCGCCTGCTGGCAGAAGGACAAGTCTAGATTCTCTAGGAAGGGAGTTCTAAAGTCTGGGAGCAACAACCGAGAAGGCCCTCTCCTGTGTCCCCACTAAGCACCACCTCAATAAGAGAACATCTGTCTCTACTGGAAACACTGGGTTCCTCTGGAATTTTTATCCCTTATGGGACTTCTGTCTCCAAGGAAAATGAGAAAAGCCCATGTAATCCTCTTGCAAGGATGCTAACCTATTCCAGTTTTGAAAATGTGTCACTGTCACGCGTTGTATTGTCGTTAATGTACTGGCGGAAAGATGATACATTAAGGTCTGCTGTGAAATAAAAATGTTGGCGAATATTCGAGGAGATTCACGCTTGTGGCTGTTGAGAGGTTGTGGGGTTGTTGGGTTTTTTTGCATAACCAAAAAGCTTCCAGTTGAATTTTGTAAAATGCATAGCGGCGAGGCTGCAGCTCAGTGGTAGAGCATCTGGCTCACATGTAGAAGATTCCTGGTTCAGTTCCTAGCATCTCCAGGTAGGACTGGGAAAGACTTCCTGTCTGAAACCCTGGCCAGCCACTTCCTGTCAGTGTAGACAATACTGGGCTAGACAAACCAGCAGTCTGACTCAGTAGAAAGCAGTTTCCTATATCCCATCTAGACATGTAGGCAAGGCTTTTCAGGAAGGCAATATGATTACCATCCAAACTGATGCTAGCATCTAAATATACATATTTTCCCCACAGGAAGCAAGCCTTTTGCAAACAACAACAACAACAACTTTGAAATACTAATTTCCTTATAATTTGGAGAGAGGGGCGAAAGCAAAAGCTGCAGTTTTTAAACACTGTATTTCTGCTAACTGGTTTCCCCAAAGTGGATGTTATTCTTTAATCAACAATATCCTCTGGCTTCTAAATATTTATCAGACACAAAGTAGTTAAGAGTGTATTTATTCAAGAGATCAGGAGCATTTTTTTTTAACAAGCACAGTTAACTACGAGAGGAATTAGCTGTTGGAGGCAGGAAGTTCTTTCACCCTCAGATAAATAAAACATCTGAACTCTGCAGTGTTATAACCCAGAAAAAAAAACCAAAATTATTCCAAGGATGAGAATGCACATCAGCCTCTGTGGTATCCCAAAATCCCATAGGAGTGCAAGATTAGAATGGGGTAGTCGGTGCAGCCTCTGCCTTCTTCAGAATCTCACCCTAAACACACACACATATAGGGAGATGTTTCTACTCCTCATGATAACAGAAATATTCTGGAAAGCATATAGGCAATGACCTGCTGAAATTTCAAGGCCGCAAAGGTGGCTGAATAAGATTTTTGGTGGTTGTAGGTGAAGCTTCAGCATCCTTGCCCCTCCTATAGCTTGCAAAACCACAATTTTGTTGCTGTTGCTTAGTCGTGTCCGACTCTTCGTGACCCCATGGACCAGAGCACGCCAGGCACTCCTGTCTTCCACTGCCTCCCGCAGTTTGGTCAAACTCATGCTGATAGCTTCGAGAACACTGTCCAACCATCTCGTCCTCTGTTGTCTCCTTCTCCTTGTGACCTCCATCTTCCCCAACATCAGGGTCTTTTCCAGGGAGTCTTCTCATGAGGTGGCCAAAGTATTGGAGCCTCAGCTTCAGGATCTGACCTTCCAGTGAGCACTCAGGGCTGATTTCCTTAAGAATGGATACGTTTGATCTTCTTGCAGTCCATGGGACTCTCAAGAGTCTCCTCCAGCACCATAATTCAAAAGCATCCATTCTTTGGCGATCAGCCTTCTTTATGGTCCAGCTCTCACTTCTATACATCACTACTGGGAAAACCATGGCTTTAACTATACAGACCTTTGTTGGCAAGGTGATGTCTCTGCTTTTTAAGATGCTGTCTAGGTTTGCCATCGCCTTTCTCCCAAGGAGCAGGCGTCTTTTAATTCATATTATGTAAAATAGCAAAGATGAATCAGTTATGCGAAGTATGCAGTGTAGTTTACACTGGTCTCATAATTCAGATTTTAAATTGCAGGCCAAGATGTGTCTTCCTTCTGGTGCTGGACATGCACATTTCAGTTCATAATTGAGAAACATTGAAGTACAATGTTTGGGAAATCTTTATTCCTCACCCTCCGCCATGTGTTGGGTTGCTACCTGGGTCGCCCTGACCCCCATTAAAGTTTAGAGAGTGAAAGCACACAGTCTCCTTTCTGTTCTTCCATCGCAGGGCTGTAATTGCTTGACCTTGTTACACTCTTTTCAAAATACAGTATTAATCGCTTGCTTCCGGGGCAAAAGCTGCACCAGCATTTGACCCATGTGGATTCTGCTCTTGAGTCTTGACTGCTTATTCCTCCGGTGCCTGTGAACAATATTCTATGTTATGTGAAAGGGAAAATGGCAAAGGCTTTGTAAATGAAGGGCTTCCCTTCTGTTCCAAATACATTGTCCCAAGGGGTTAACCTTGATATGAGGACTGCTAATTCTAGGGTGACAAGATGCAAAAGAAGATAGAGGCTCCTGGGCCTTTGAAAGGTGTGCAGAACATATCCTGAAATGCAGCAGAGCAATTTCCCCCTATAAAATTGAGCAGTAACCATTCATTTATATGGGAGAAAGTAAATGAATACATCAGGGATATTTGGGGGTGAGATCAACAAACCTCCCCTCTAGCAGCCTGCTACACATTGAGACTCAATCCTGATTTGATCTGCATGGACCCACGCGATATCTTGTTTCTCTTGGTCACGCTAGAGCATGACGGGATGTTAGGAAGGTAAGGGGGGGGGCTTTTTCCTTTTTAGACAGACAAGATAGAATTAGAGCAGAAATGTAATTTTTTTTGCAAACGTGTATACTTTGCAGATGAATTATATCTATTTATAGAAAGGACTTTAGCTGTCCCTTTACCTACTGTGACTAAAGGCTTGTCCACGCTTCTGCTCGTCCCCTAGAAAGCACAGGTCCGAATGGTTTCCCCCTTGCCCTGCACCTTTCCCAGGGAAACTCCACTGCTTAGTTCTGAGTGAGAGCAAATGGCAAGTTGTGGAGAACCCAATTGCTGTTCACTCTGATTGAGTGCTAAAGAGTGGTTTTCCGTGGGGGGAAGCAGTGAGGTGAGGATGTGTAGATAAATTCTAGGAGCAATTCCTATGTTCATGGCTGTACCCAGTCCCCCTTTTAGAGCCATCAAAGCCAGTGGTCATTGCCAAAACTTGTGGCTATGAGTCCCATACATTAAGCATGCACTGGGTGAAGAAGTAAACCTCTTTCCACAAAGTGAAACCTCCAGAGTTTTATACGGCTTTGCTAAGCTGCAGGCTGATGCACGGTCAAACTTATCTTTACTTTCTTAAGGACTAGAGGCTTGCTTAGATTTTTAGAATGAAAAGCGCAGGTTCTTGTGATGCTGAATATTGGGCCCCGGTTCCAGTGTTTCAGCTTATCCCGGCATGATTGCAGAACAACACACGCACACAGCCATAATTCTAGGAAAGCGCCTTAGAAAGAAAGTTGGGAAGCAGCCAGGAAGCCCAAGGCAACGTCTGAGATAAGGAGAGAAAAGTCGGAGTATATTACATCACCTTGGACACCTCATTAAGCAAAGTGAATTCATCTCCAGACACATCCTGCTTAGCCAAGGAGAGGAAGCTCTAGCAGATGAATAAGCACATTCTGGGACACAAGCGAGCGCAAGCGACTCAAAACAATTGTCATCCCATTTGTAAGCTTGTTTGCTTCTGTTCTGCTTGTGAAGATGCTAGCTAGTGCTGTGTTAAGGTTCGGTTTTAAAGTTCCCCACCCCCAGTTCCTTCCAAATTCCTTTAAAAAAAATGTTTTAGAGAGAGTCAGTGGTTTTGTAAGTTGCACTTAGACCATGGAGATCTCGATTTCAATTCCCCCCAGTCAGCTGAAAGCTTACCTTATCCTTTGACCGCTAATTGCCTCTCAACTTTACCTGCCTCACACAGTTGTTATGAAGATAAAATGTGGGGTGGGATGTACATTGCCCTGCGGGAATAGGCCTAAGAGATGATGAAACAACTTTACAAAGCAATCTACAAAATTTAACGGTGCATAGATTTTAGTACCGTAGGTTGAAAGTGGGCAGGATGGGGGTTAGTAGCGAATTGCCCACCAAATGGCAGGACTGTGTGTTGTAGCTGAGTTTTAACGATGGGCTGCAGCGGAGCTTGAGTTGCTGTTTCTTCTTATCTGCTGACACCTTTTGCTTTCTTTCTTCCATTTTGTAGTTGCGTCCTCTAGGGTTGTCCCTCTTTTTGTGGCAGGGTTCCTGTGCCTTTAAAAAGTGTACAACTGGGACTATAGCTTGACAGTTCCAATTTTCCCTATCGCTGTATCTGTATTCTTTGAAATGTCACAGTTGGATGGATCTATAGGCTGCTGCCGCCACACCAGCCCTCAACTCTGCATTGAAAGAGCCTTTTCCGTGCTGCTTTTTCGAGGAAGAGGGAGTATTCTTCTTCCCAGGTGAAAGGCCACAGGTTCTCTATGACTATTATCTCCCCCTCCCTCGACTTTCTGGTGGTCTCTCTACTGCTTGTGTCAAGTAAAGAGATTCAGGAAGAGGGATAACATTATTTCAGAAAGTTGCCACAGCAATTTACAAACCTTTTTGGAAGCCTTACTTCGTTTTTACAACAGCAGTATTAAGCAGGCTACTATAGTTAAAAGTATAAGGGACATGGGTGGCGCTGTGAGTTAAACCACAGAGCCTAGGACTTGCCGATCAGAAGGTCAGCGGTTCGAATCCCTGCGACTGGGTGAGCTCCCGTTGCTCAGTCCCTGCTCCTGCCAACCTAGCAGTTCGAAAGCACGTCAAAGTGAAAGTCCCGCTCCAGCAGGAAGGTAAACGGCGTTTCTGTGCACTGCTCTGGTTCGCCAGAAGCGGCTTAGTTATGCCGGCCACATGACCCGGAAGCTGTACGCTGGCTCCCTCAGCCAATAAAGCAAGATGAGCACCGCAACCCCAGAGTCGGTCACGACTGGACCTAATGGTCAGGGGTCCCTTTACCTTTACCTTTACAGTTGAAAGTATAGTGGTACCTCGGGTTACAGACACTTCAGGTTACAGACAATTCAGGTTACAGACTCCGCTAAACCAGAAATAGTACCTCAGGTTAAGAACTTTGCTTCAGGATGAGAATGAAATTGATGGCAGCGGCGCAGCAGCAGCAGAAGGCCCCATTAGCTAAAGTGGTACCTCAGGTTAAGAACAGTTTCAGGTTAAGAACGGACCTCCGGAACGAATTAAGTTCTTAACCCGAGGTACCACTGTAATGAACTGGGTTGAGCAACTGAAGCTGAGGGAGATAGCTGCCTGCTGTTGGATTCTCAGAGAATGCTTTCAAATAGGTGTAGATGCATTAAATTTATCGTGAGGGATTTTTGCAGCTCAGGGTGGATAGGGGAGTCTGTTCCTCTGAAAGCATCTTATTCCAAAGTCTCCTTGCTCTCTTTCTGTACCCAGGAAGATCTTAACGTAGAAGGGTCTTTTCATCAAGTGAGACCCTCTGTGCATTC